ACTCACGTTTACCAACCTAAAACCTTTCACGCAAATATATTCACTAAATTAAAGATGCGTTAGATAACCTGAATTATTTCTCACTATTGTCACTACAGATAAAATTAGAACTGTCTTACCGTATGCGGCATCCAGTTTCTCATTTATGTGATACATGAACTGGGGTACACACTTAGCAGTAGCTCTTAGTTGTAGCATGAAGTTTTCTTTTCACCCATTGGCTTCTTGTAAAGATTATTCCGCTTCTAACTAATGGAACCGAAAATGTGGCAATTGTTCAACAAACATGTCACGTCCACTGGCGAGAACTCGAACATTACCTCGTCCATCATGAAGTTCTTATTCAAAGTGACTCAGTAATAAAGATAAATCGCTAAATTCTTCGTGCCTCCGCATCATATTAAGTGAACCAGTCATCAGCATTCATTACTGGAGAGACAGACTCCTTTGGCTGTTGTATGTAGTCTCCTCTTACAGTAGTGCGGTAGTCCTGAAATTTCGTAATATCTTAATCCCAATCAATGGTGAATAGTCAATTCCTTCAGTCAACATGTCTAGCCACTATTCTTGATGTCTCTACACTGTTGTGTAGCTTGTGTCATTTGACTCAATGCCTTCAACGGACAGATACTAATGAGCATACACTCACGGACTATGCACACACGATCATAGGAATCATCAAAAAGACGGTTGTACCGAAGAAACGAACTGACGAACTTGCATCCTCACTGAGACCGAGATATGTCAGCAATAACCAAGCAAGTAGTGCATCAGTAACATATCACTTCTATGTCATCAGACTTTGTCCACTCGTCAATTGTGAAATCATGAATTCTACTATCAGCTTAGCTTTCCCGTCTAATCGATTGCAACCACCACCTTGATAACCTGAAATGACAGTGAAGTATTAAAACCCACTGAAGTCCCAAATCACAATAATTATTAAGAAGTCATGGTACATTTGAGGAGATTAGAGCATATGCATACACTGTAGTGCAGTACAGTTGGATTCCACCATATAAGGAAGAAATTCATTCGATGATACAAGTACACAGTAAATAATTCATTATTACTGTATCAGTGTTTGATTTTATCACACACAAGATTCTCCTATCATGGAATATTCAGTGGTGATACAGGCTTGACTGGAAGAAATCAATGCTTCCTTCAGTCAGCACCGACAATCATTACTCGAACACTCTTGTCATTCCTATTCCTGCTCACTGTATGGACTGACCTTCTGATTGCAGATTGTCTAAATTACTTTTGATTCAATGAATCTTGACTTATATTGACTGTGTCTCATAAATATACATCGATATGTGAAGGCCGAAAACAAGCACCTCATTTCATCAACACTAGGATAACTAAGGATCAAATAGTTTTCATGATCTTTTCAAAGCATTATCAGCTCTCTCAATCGCTCTTTCACTCTCTATATTGCTCACTCACTCTCTATATTGCTCGCTCGCTCTCTCTATCCCTCAATCTCTCACAGATTACTACATGAGCAGTTTGGTGATAAAAGCATCCACTTAACAATCACTTGACTATGAACACATGTGAATATTGATTTATCCACATGTTCCTGCAATCATTATTCGATTAACACTCTACGCATTCATTCATTAATTCGACAGATTGATCATCATACCATTGACACAGTTAAACACACACATGCACACACCAAGCTAGACAGACAGACAAACGGCCGGACAGACACACTCATGAACTCGCTGAAGCGTGACTTGAGACATGAAACGTTTTACAAGTATCATCGTGTCAAATTGATCTGAGATTTTGACTGACAAGGACGAGAGTCATGTTTCACGAATGAAAATCATATGAACGCTTTGATTCGCTCATCATCTATTTGTCGATTCCATATGCCACTTTATACAGCAGGTGACGTCTCTGCAAATGGTCTGTGATAAAACAGGCAAACCAATGTGATTTCTACATCATTCGGAATGATGTTAACAGAGTTTGCATTTCACTTTTTTTGCCTTAATTTGACTTCATTTAGGTATAAACCACATTCAGGTAAATCTCTGTTCTATTTGGAACATCTGAGAAATATGAATAACTTTTTGGTACTTAGTGTTATTTTGAACACATCCCAGTAATTAGTACTTTTTATTACTGTGGAAATAAGAGCTCTCAAAACATAATGCTGACTTATTTACATGGCAAATAAAATGAAGCCTTTAATTCCGTCATTCTCAGACCGTGATATGTCCCCATATCATGGATGATGAATTAGCTGTATTCGAATGACGCATACGTGTCTGAGAATTTACATTCAATATATTATATTGTACACTGTGTTTAGTGAACTAACCTATAAACAATCAGCTCATGTGTTATCAATCTCCACGTGAGTAGAACTTCACAAGTCATCTTTGCCATTGTATTTCATGGAAATCCGCGTAACAAATAACTTGAAAATGTTGAGTTAATGGGATTTCTTTGTGCGCATACGTCCCTTTTAGTCATTGGCGAATAATTACACTTTTCCTCATTTACTACTCGATACACTTCTTCAGTCAAAACAACAATCCTCGAGTTGTCGCAAGTGGTAGGCCTTTTTGTTCTAACTGACTACTTCATTCTGAAATATCAAATTTACTTGAAAGACAGAAAAAAGCAACTGGAACAAGATCTTACGAAGGAAAATATTATATTTAATTAAACAAAAAAGAGATAAGAAAACAACGTATTTACTTCACCAATATAGCTTGAATTCCCTTGGAATCGAATTCATTTTCCTGAAGCTGAAACAAAATGAAACCAGAAACAGAGTAAAAGCGAGTTGAAAATAGACACGTATCTTGTACAGCAGAAATTATTATCGACAGTTTTCATCTAACTGACAATTACACTAATCCTCAGGCAATACTTCCAGTGAATATTGAAACACAGAATAATTGTGTACATTATCTGGCTGATTCCAAGTTACAATTCCCCTCACAGTAAATTAGCTATGCAAAGTACCATCTGAATTTACGATGTTCTCAACAGATGTTACAACCCTGATATTGGGTGCAGCCTTCGACTGTGATCATGTGGCCGGTCAGCCAGTAGCTCAGCCATCATGCGCCTGTTCACTGATGAGTAATCAAGAAATGCGAGTGAACAGAAGTTCATTGGTACTTGTTTCTCAAGGATTCATCCAGCTGATTTCAGCTAACCACGAAATCCATCTTCAAGTTCATATTCACTTGTGCAGTTAGTTAGTAATTTAAAACACGCTGAGGATCTAAGTAGGAACTTACTTCAATAAAACTGCTTGGCATCTTCCTTCATTTCAGACAGGAGACAGTTAATTCTGCATTCTGGGGTTTGAACTAGGCAGTTGTAAATCATTTCAATATTTCAACTTACACTTCAAAAATTCAATCCTCTTCATTTCCAATAGTTTTATTTTCTCACCTAGTTCCTCTAATACAGGGAATAGATTGTCAGTGACGCATTAGTACCATTTTTAATGTTACGTTGCAACAATATGAAATAAAGCTTAAATCTCACAATGCTCGATCATGTCATGTAGTCTCCATGTAACTGTTATTCCAAACTTAACAATGTATATCATAAATGTTTTTGGCTTTATTGCATGATACATTGATGAAGTCACTGAAGCTTCATCGGATTAGTTTCGCATGTCCCGGTAATATGAAATTAACTCTATAGAAGCAGTAAATTTAACGCTTTTGTGCATACATATTTTAGACTTAGCTGTCACCTACAGTTTGCAGATTCTAATAATAATATGACAAGTAATACTGCTGATTTTATCAACAATATAGCCTAATTTGGTATAAGTGAATACGATGACTTGATAATATACACATCATTAGTCATACAGGCTACTTTTGTCTCTTACGAAAATGAAATTCACTGAGAGGTGCATTCATCTCTAGAACTATGAAATATAACATGTGATCAAATCAAATAACCATGTAAAATTACTTGTGCCGATGGCAAAATTATTACGAGCCTTCTGATACACCTCCGTAATTTTAGCAGAATGCAATGAATCTGAAAGTCGCATAAGTAATTGAAATTACTGGAGGGAAATACTTCATACAAATGCATTCAATGTGGAATGAGATATGTGTAAGTAATTTGAGTTAGTAAATTTGAGCGCTTTGTATTTTCAATTAGTGGGCAAATTGTTACTTTTACTTATCGTTTGTTTGGTCCATTGTCTTAACCTTCACATGACTTTCAAACTAAAGATCTTCAAGAATGAGTCTCTGTCGATTCAAAATACCATGCATTATTCTGTTCATACTTTACTCGATGTTTGCATGTTGACGATCAAAATTTTAATTATTTGGGGTACCCAGCTAGAAACCTTGATCCAATTATGATGATGTCATTCTCCAGTACACATGAAGTTCTGAAGTTTCTTGTTCTAGTAATGTCATTATTTCCATTCAAATACGAATCGCATGGAGCTTAGTGATGAAAACATTTTGAACTTCGAAGTATTGTAAGCAAGGTAAAGTTGTTTGCTCACCACTTGTAGATCTTCTTTTGTTCGCAGGTCGGAAATAATCTAAGTAATAATAATAAAATCATGTGATATGATTATGAGAGAACAATTGCTCTAGAAGCGTCGTCCAGTTATAAATACCATGAAAATGTGTGTTATGTTCACCGAACTTATCTCATATCGAATTATATTCTACCATAGTATAAACCATTTCACTTCTACAGTCAACGTCATATTCAGTTAGTCTACTCTTTTGTCTGCTTTTCAATGTAAAGCAAGGTGGATGTCGATCTCGGCTTCACGTCATTTGTACAGTTAAGTGGAGATTATTGAATAGTTGCGGAAAAATATGTTTGTCTGTGTGTTGACGATCAGTTAAACGCATCTACTTTTCATACATAATCATCACCAGGTTCATCAAATGGTGAATCGTAATAGGCTTGTCCAAGGCTTCATTGTACCTTGAAGTACACTAATCAAATTGATGAATATATACACTCACTTAAAAAATTTGTGTATGCATGACTTTCCATTTCTAGCCATTTAAGTTTAGCTAAAAACAAGAAGTGTTGAATGATATTTAAAATGTTAATCAAGAAACTTCAATGTCATATTTATCATTATACTGAATACAACATATTGACGATTCAAAAACGTGTCATAATAATTTGATTACTTCTCAACACGTTTTTCCTCACCACACAGTGAATATATCAGCTTTCAAAAGTTTGGTCCACTACTCACGAAATGAGTGAAGACTCGCTGGTGGTAAAACTGGCGTCCAAACATTTCTGAGAAGTTATTCTACTGGTGGTGAAAAAGAAATCTATTACAACCTAGTTAATGTGTATGTTATTGATGAGTAAATAGGGTAATTAGCGACTAACTGTAAACAAAATGACTAGTGAATTTTTATAGTAAAAGTTTATTAATTATGAACGTAGTGTGCAATATAAATTTACAGAATCCTTTTACCTTTGGATGTTTTCACTGCTTCCTTTGCTTCCATAAATTCCTTCTTTATCATTTCAATTTGAACTATAATTTCACAGTATGGAAAAGTGTGAAACTTCTCATTGTGTGTTCTTCAGCGTGAAATAATCATATTAACGCAATGGCTTCTGACTGTCGCAAAAGGAGGCTATCCCGTTCGAAATGTGCAGCTTACCATATGACATTTCGAGTAGTTTACTGATATCAGTAACACGAATACATTCACTGGGTGTAAACTGCATTTAAACTGCAACTGTGCCCAACTTCAAGGTTCGCTTGACGTTTTCCTTGTCAATTATAGAACAATAATCGTTTCCGTAATACATTGAAATTTTTGAGAATAATTTGATAAATCATTGAATGAATAATCATGTCAATGGTTTCGCATTTTACAAGTTATATTTATAAAGACATGCTACAATTTGAGGAGTTTTTGCATGTAAAAGACTGATGTGTCGTCTGATACTGATTAGATTTATCAGTAGAATTTAAAGAGACGCTCTTCGGCATAAAAACATCGAATAGCAGGGAGATGGATTTGACGTCAAAGAAAGCAAATGATTCAGCATTTCGACAAAACATGACAGACGTGATATGAATACGAAGAAATATAATATAAAGGAGAGAAATAGTACAACACGGAAGCTCTGTGCAAATGGTGGTTCGAAGATAAGATGTACATAATTTGGCAATTTGGAGATACAAAATCCGGAATAAGCATTGCTTTACCAAGTCTCTTTTCTTCTATCGTTACACTGACAGTTCACTGCGTGAACATGTTTCTGTCCATTATTTCTGTGTAAACCATAGTATGTAAGGCATTTAGCACTGAAGAATAATAAAACCATGTAATACACTTTGTACTTGTTGGTGATAAAATGTGGAAAACAGTGTTTATTGTCATAATTTTCATCACGTATTACTCAACAAGATGATCCTTCTGTGAATGGAGTTCCAATTCAAATCCACCTGTGTCATTACTCAATATGCTGATACTCAGTGAATTCGGGCAGATATAGTGTTCAGATGCATGGAAACAGCTTTTCCACACATTCAAACAACTCGAGAATTGAGTTGAACAATCAAATAGCTGCTGTATCTGGTTGTCATAAAAGATATTCAGACATGGTTTATTACAAATAAATTTCACCGCATTTCAATGGAATTGTGAATATGTATAATAATTAGATCAGAAGAACTACTATTCACAAAATGACGAGAGATATTTCAGCAAAGTTTATAAGTTACGAAGATGAATTTCAAAGTGTAAGAAAACTAACCTTCGTCTTTCTTTAAACTGCTTGATGTCCCCACAAAAAATTTGCCTGCAATTGATACATAACAATGTCACTCAACTTCCAGGTATACTATGAATCCAACATTATCATAATCAATTTACTTAAAGATTGGTTCAGCTGACTTCAATTCAAATGACATCATCACAGCTAACCTGCTAACTAGGTATAAAGCTTTGTTAGAAGATGCTATTAGACCATCGAGTAAGTGTACTGTCACTCACATATCGATGGCAAGTAGTCTGTTTTTGACTAATTCTAATGACAAAATATGACTAAGTGAATACACGGATGGTGTTTGCCTACTGTCGCTTATTGCATGAACTACTCTCTGTTATTTGGATGGACATTTACGCACAAATATTCTCATCATTCTTGATCAATTCTGAAAATCAGTGCTGATGATGAAGTCAGGGAAATCCAGAAGCCTCAAAAAAACACACTATCATGAAAAGAAATCAGTGAGGGGAATCATTGAAATGTGCAGAACACTCCTACAGCACCACCAGTTCATGCGAGATTTAATTTAAGACTGTCAATAATTGATGTATCAAGTTTTTTCCTCGCTAAGTCAGATAACACATTCGTGGGTGTGATTTTTAGAGGACATATCGCCATTCCGAAGTGTTGTGATATATCTTGTGTGAAGACGAGAAGTTTTTGTGGCTTTACGTGCTTCGCCTAATTACAGAAGAAGGATATTTAATTTCTTACAAAATGTAAAATAACCTACTGCCTTTAAAAATAGTGGAATCATAAAAATTTTACCTTCTGCAATATCGAGAGTTTTTCGATTTTCCCATTTCTTTGAAATATGCGTTTTCGTTAGATTGTATAATTCTTTACTAGCTGACGAAATAAATGGAAAATGACTAGGTATAATTATTACTCATAAGTTCTGTAAGATCTAAACTACATGATATTTTGAGCTGTGGAATGTTCCTCCGAAATGGTGACAGTGATAATCTATCTGGATGCCGTAGTATGACTCACTTTTAGGCATCGAACAGATTTCAGCGTAATATCATGTATCAACCACTGATTTCACCTAAGGCATGTATTACAGTTGTAAATGTGACCAGATTTCGGTGGAAGAGTAGGAAGTAATATGAAAGTTAAAATTATCATCAGTTTAAACGATAATGTCATCACTCAAAGGACAAATAAGCTGAAGATCTTCTGAATATCACTGGAACAATGGATCTTAGTAACAAATCAATGTAAAGAAAAAATTAGAGAATGGTCTACTTTGGTAAGAAATGTCCTGACGTTGATCAGATTTATCCTCACGTAATTTCGCTCAAAAATGTTTTGTTAGAGAAGTGCGATTGACGTGGATGAAAAGGAAGTATGATTGAAGATTGAAATAATGACTTGACACAAAACACCATTTCAAAATCTTATGTGGTTGCCTCATTTCGCTAAGTGATGAACTTTAGTTTGAGTAGTATTATAACGTTTATTTAAAAATCAATCATACCAAGAACTTTGTAATTAAAAGCATTATCTTCTTCCAATGCCTTCCTGTATTCATCTATAAAGAAAGGAAGCATTGTTTGGTGCATATTTAATTACTCAAATAGCCAACAATCTGTAGCGTGTATTTGTACACTTTGATAGTAGGAAAGTGTGAATTAAGTTCATTTATAAACAGATGACGTTACGTACATTATTAAATTTTCGCATCAATCGGACAATCAGTTTCAAATAGAATAGTTACGCACATCTCTCTCAGCAGATATCATGGATGGATGTTGCTTGTGGGATCGGTTTGGGTTGAAAGGAGACAAATCATGAGCGAATCTCGCTGTACAACTGCAAATCGTCATCAATCATAGGCTGGAATGGCAGTCAACTGCTTAAAGCATTCCCACGGAATATGAGAAGACTTTCGACAAAGTTGACTGTGAAGTAACTTGCTTGCCTTACCAACAGTGCTAAGTGCTGCATACTCTGATGCATCTCATTCAACAGGCAAGGGATTAGGCCACTAGGAAGCATCTTTCAGCGGAAAGTTCATAGGACTGTGACAAGGCAGTCTACTAGCGCCTATGGTATTGTTCTGAAGTGAACCATCCGAATTATATTTTATGGTGACCAGCTCAATGTGTCACCTAGGAAGGCGGAGAAGGAATAACAGTAGTAATTTCATAATGTAACTGAATAACTAGGGATTTATTTTACCATCCAATATTTAATGAAAATAGAGTAAAAATAAGTTATCCAAATTTCGAAGTAGTGTAAATGAACTTGAGATATGTATGGAGTATAAATTATATTCGGAATGTTATCAATGATGCATCCTGTTTCACTGTATCATGTATGTACCGAACAAGCTATTGTTGAAGAGGACATTGTAGAGAAAATGGATGATGGAGGAAATTGTTTCGCTACTGAATACCACGTCACCCGTGATTGAATTGACGACAAATTTTAAAATGCTTCACTAGATTGCTTTCTTATAGATGAGCGATAACGTCTTCAATTGTTAAGGTTGTCAAATAAAAATCAATACAAGCACCTACAGTGACATTTGTCACACGAAATGATTTCAACCTGACGTTCATTTCACAAACAGTAACATGGTTTTTTTGTTTTCAGGTACCAAATGATTTTTCCACATGCATTCTGTTTATTATTTTAGGAAGAAATAACCCACCAATAAAAAAATTCACCAGCTTCTTATCTTCTGCACCGATCGCTGTAAAATTGTAGACAATTTTTGGGAAATATTTTACTTGTACTCGGAGGCATGGTAAGAAAGAGACGGTAAGAAAACCTCAAATGTATGCTGAGGGTTTGTCGGACATGAAAAGTAAAACAAATCAATGCGAAACACAGAAGCTGCTTGTTTTTATACTAAGTACATGGCAACTTGTTCGAGGCGTTTTATAATCTATCCGTCAGACTATACTGTATCTGCGTTAAAAAGAATATTGAAAGGTTAATCAACAGCATTCATTAGGCAAATGACCCAATGTAGCCACCGTTTAAGTTATAATTCAGTATTTAATGCTATGCATATAGAAAAGATGTGTATTGGAATAATTTGTAAAATGTGCTCATGAAATTCATTCCTCAACTTGAAGTTCCTCCATAAAATGTTGCAGACTATTTGTTTAAAGAAATTTATGTGCTACTGACACCTGGAGAACCGTCTCCGAAATACTAGTTTTGATAATTTTTTTGCCTAGTAATTGAATTCTTTGATCATCTCCGATGACACTACAATACATTTCAATTCACAAACCAACATATTTAACTTCAGTTAAACTCACGCCTTTATTGAACACACGGATCATTTTAGGAACATAAAAGAATTGAATTCGTGAATGATGGGACTTACATTCGAGAAATTCCTTTGCCCATTTACTTTGATATAGGTGTTCAATTCTCAGGATTTCTGTTTAAAGTGGAAAAAACACTAAATTAGGGCATGCCGTAATGTTGGTTGATACAGGTTTTTTGTTGACTGAATATTGACTATTAGAAAACAGAAAGATTCAGCGAATAAATATTTACTTTTCAATTAGATCCTCACTAGGTGACGCGGGTTTGAATCTCAGAAAGCGACATTAGTTCCTTCAAGCTCGTTGTAGATACGCCTTGGTGACGAGTGCCAATTGACACGAACCTAGGTCGAAAGATTCCTGTCGATTACCTTTAACCGTCTAATATCATCAAATCAATATGCACCGTGGTGTTAAGCTACCTAGAATGGTGGCCACATTACAAACCTGACTGAAAAAATTCAGTCTGCACCAAAGAAAGGACTAGACGCAGTACGCCAGTTATCAGTATCCGATCAAATTATCCAACGTTTCGAATACCATGATGTTAATGGAAGTCGGAAAGGTGACAGAACCAGGTGAAATTCCATTGAAAGCAACTCATGTGATATACTCACGCCACTGGTGCATTACATTTCAGATGACGGAAAGTTGCAGGCTGGTTGGATGGATAGGCTACCTTGCCAAACTATCAGAGAAAGGTTGCTTACGTCTCTGCAAGAAATGAACGGAGTATAATGCTTCCGTCCAATCCAAGCAAAGAACTGTCTCGTGTCAACCTAGAAAGAGACAAAATGACGCAGTGAATGCGAAAATCCCTCAATAATATGCTGAATTCAAGAAAAGCAACACCTCGTCGTCGTAGAGAGCATAGGATTGCAACGTGAATTTGTCAAATGCTAAGAGATCCACAATGTAAATCTCAGTGAGGCTGGTCACAGATGGTACTCCTGGTCGTGGGTGACTGGGTCGTGTGAGAGACCGTGAGGAGCAGGAAGATGATCATACGTTGATGCAACAGGCAGACTTAGGAATGTTTGAACTTCGTCGATGACTTATGTCTAATATCACACGAAGTTGAAGATCTGCAAGCGATGACACGTCTTCAAGTGAGCATAAGGAAAATAAGAGCGTTGAACACCACTAACTCACCAACCAACAAACAGCAATGGTAGAAATGTGAGAGAAATCATTTCTTGTACTTATCCAGAAAGCACCATTTCAACTATACGTGGTGGCAGGAGTGACGACACTGCAGTCAGCTAAGGTCAGAGAAGCAAGACCGAATTTCACCGGTTTCAAGCCAGTAGGCGAGTATAAGGGAGACAAGGTATGGGTCTTCAACACTGACGTCAAATCCATGCTTCTACATGATTCAGAGACTTATCCTGTCGATAAAAGCATTGACAAAAGACTTTTGTAAACACCTGACTTTGATGCCTCAGTACTGAAGGCAAGGATGTTAGAAAGAATTAGCAGCAAGGAAGTCTGGTGACAAACCAGTTATGCATCTACTTCCCAACTGTTGACTGATATCACACTTCAGTCTGTTTAATGAAATGTGAGTGTTATATGAGGAGGTGAGTGGTGGTGACATTGTGGAGCTTGTGTGGGAGGAAAATACAGGTTAATTGGCCAGTTGTGCAGCTAGCTGCGATGGACTGCAAAGAAGAGGATAGGATGGAGATGTGCAGCTGAGGTCTTATTTTCCGCTTGGAACTCAGGAGAGTAATAAAAATATTCTGGGAAAGAAGCCGAGAACGCCAAGAGAAGCAGTAGACAACATTAAGACTCAGACCCCATTTCCAGCCAAAATCGCTTCCACCAGTATCCTATTTATACAGAGAATCTTCCACTACACCCACAAGTGAGTTCATGGATTTCAGTAACCTGCTTGATATCATCAGACAAGGATAACATTTCATGCATCAGTAAGGATAGGAAGGTGGGTGATACAAAAGCTTTCCTGTCACATCCTATACAGACGTTATTTTAACCATTAGAATCAGTCAGCGTTGTTCTGTTACCTTAGATTTTATCATGCATAGACCAAGAGCTACATTTCATCTTCATCAGATGATAACAAACAAACGAGACACTCAGTCATCATCAATAGGATCACAAGTGTGCATCTTTGATTCATTGGAATGCATGAAATGTGACATAAACTATTGATCGAAAAAAGACCTGACCAAATATTCATGGCTGACATTTATTTGAAAAAGATATAAAAGGCTGAGAAAATTTTCCTTTCAACGATTCATTTCATAAGCTGTAATTATCAAGGAAATCATAAGACTGGCAAAATTTGTCCTCGAATAAAAGTAATAGGTAATGCAAAGTGTAAACAAGAAACAGACAAATTTTACCAGTATCCCATTGGTCTTATGATTTCATTGTTAAATATTATTACCATAGTAAAGCTTATGAAAATGAATCGTTGAAAAGAAAATGTTCTTCGTTGTTTACGTCTTTTTCTTAGGATTCAAAATGAGAATAATTCGTTCATTGTTATTTATATGCAGCCATGTAGAAAATTTGATAAAATTACTCACCAGGTTTTATTATTCCTTCGACATTCTGAGGATCTTCGCCTGTCTGAATTTCAATCATGAGAACTAAAACAGACAAACGGGTGGAAATAAGTCCGAAGTATGTGGATTGCTTAATGCTTGAATAAAAGTTCTGACAAAATAAATGACGACCTGTAGGCAACATGCAATCAGACTTTCTGCCTTTGTGTAACAAATTGTTCATGTAGTGTGCCTGTCCTCCGTGCATTACCAACACACCTCCAGACAAATGTAAATATTTATCGCACAATCCGCTGGTAACCCGTACCAAGTGATTAAACCTTTTAGCCCAATAGAAATTACTCTACAACTGCTATTCAACTCATCTCAGTCTGTAGTATGCACATGCATACAAAATTTTATCCTGGAGATTTTCAAGTTTCCTGAAATAGATGAAGCACTGTCGCTCACGTTGAAGCATCAGCTTCCTGTTCTACTTAAGAAGAATGATTTGCATGTTATTACATTTAGATGACATTACATACATCTGTTGACATGAGAAATATATCTCCCCGAATTTACCAGGAGATAAGCAGCTGTAGAAGATATTTTTGAAAGCTACTCAGTGTTGTCAGTGATTGAATTGGTTGATTAGCCGTCTACAAATCAAGGCAAGCGATATAAGTAGTAAGAGAATGTGAACACTGATCGTTACAGAAGAGTCTAAAGTGAAGAGACAAAAATTTAATGATTTCCGGTGAAATAAACACATACATTTATAATCCACAGCTTCACGGTATGAATCTGCGTATGCGCCCAGTGTTGAATTCAGATCACCTGAAATGTAGTAAAATATTTCCCCCAAGCTATCTAATTGACACTTCGTTTACCAAGTCATATACACACACAAAAATAAAATTTTCTTGTACATAAAGAATCAGATAATTGGCCGATTCAACTGTTTGTGAAGTCCACAAAATAAACAGTGAAAATTTCCCCAATCATAAGTTACGCCCATCTCATGATGCATTCTACTACTTAGAAGTGAAATTGATCTTGCATATTCACTTTTCAATATATTAAATATTCCCATGGTAAAATTAAGAACAACACATTTAAGCGAACAATATTCTTTCCCATTATATCTCATTAGGCTTAACTCAAATATATAGAAGTTTACAAATAAAAATTCAAATATAAACCAAACATGGTGTTATGTCTATAGGATAATACGATGGTGAATATAAATTGTGCAATTAGTCATAAGAGTAGTAATGATAATAATAATAGTATTAATAAAAATGGTTTTATCAGTAGTAAGGATGAAAAAGTTAGGCAATCTGTGATATCACGAATAATGAAAAACACCATGATTAAACAAACAACTGTTCAGGTGGAAGTAGTCGATAAAGGCCAGTAAAAACAAATGAACCGATTAAGTAATGTTAGATTCTAAGGGAAGTGAATGAGACACGTTTATAATGAAGATGTTATAAGATTAAGGGATGATAAGAAAGGGGTTGAAAATATAAACAAACGATGGTGTAGAAGTCATTAGTTGGTTATGTCTTCTTAGGTCAACGGAGGGATAATGGCTGTACGAACTCTTTTGAATACATAATTTAGGTTTTATAGTTCGAATGCCTATCGCCTCAGCTGTGTGCAATAAACGAAAACGAAGTCTTTTGAAAAGATTCGGTGGGATTTGATGAATTACTTTGAAGGCTCTCGTTTTCTAGATTACATGACCACTATCAATTAAGTGTGACAAAATTGAGCTACAAATTGTTTTTGTCTGTCCTTTGCCAAACGACGATAGGAGATGTTCACTAACACGTTGGCTAAGCTGTCTAGTAGTACGCCCGACATAACTGTCACCACAGGTGCAGTTGAATTGATAAATGCACACAGATGTGGCAAAACTAGCATGATTACCCTTCGTTTGCGTCCCAATCATTCGTCGGCTAGAGAGTGACAAACATAGATGTGTTGCATAAAATGTTCTTCGTATACTCCTTCAAAGTCTTTGGAATAGAATCTTATTGATAAGTCACCATTAAATTGTAACTTAATAAATAGAGGTTTCTTTCCAATAGACTTCGTTTTCGTTTATTGCACACAGCTGAGGCGATAGGCATTCGAACTATTAAACCTAAACTGTGTATTCAGAAAACGTTCGTATAGCCATTATCCCTCTCTTGGCCTACTAAGACATAACCAACTAATGACTTCTACACCACCCTTTGTTTATTTTTTTCAACCCCTTTCTTATCATCCCTTAATCTTATAACATCTTCATTATAAACGTGTCTCATTCACTTCCCTTAGAATCTAACATTACTTAATCGGTTCATTTGTTTTTACTGGCCTTTATCGACTACTTCCACCTGAACAGTTGTTTGTTTAATCATGGTGTTTTTCATTATTCGTGATATCACAGATTGCCTAACTTTTTCATCCTTACTACTGATAAAACCGTTTTTATTAATACTATTATTATTATTACTACTCTTATGACTAAGTGCACAATTTATTTTCCCTTTTGTCAGAAGATGCATACACCACTGAAAATAATCATTGTGGTATTGATTTTTCTACAGTGGAATGATGTTGACATTTGTAAAAACTATGTCTGTAAAATCTTCTCGAGATCGAAATGAGTAATTCCTAAGTTTATTTTAATGATGTTGTCCTGATTAAATGATATTCAGTATGCTGCAATGTTAACAATGTATGCTATAGTTCGTCGGGAAACGAAGCTTCACATTTACAATAGACAATCATTTGAATACATCAAAATGTCTTTACAATGAGTAGTCACATAAAAATGCAGTCCACTGTAAACTAAGGCCTGTTACCGCCAGAAGTAGAAGATGGGGCATACCTAGCAAGATGTTGTGACAGGACACTGTGAACGAAAGCTATACAACAGATAGATCAAAATCATGTTGGAAAACGGACAGCAGATTAGAAATGAAGCTAATTTTCTACTACACTATTTAAAATCACACATAAGTTTTGTAAAGCGTAAAGGATATATTCCACAAAACCGCCTCCAGTAGCTATAAGTAGTCTGTCAGCAGAAAGTCTATTGCATGCAAGAGAAGATCACTGTGACAAAATGTAGCAAACTCTTACAGTGAGACATTTATAAAATTATATTTGTAAAATCTCAGCGAAATTGAAATGATTAATTCCAACGTTTCGTTCGGCAATCTGGTCCGAACTTCTTCAGGGAAATTAATCGAATTAAAATAAACAGGTTTATATATAAAAGGAACGACTCATGATTGGACAAAAAATTTAAAAACATGAGTTGTTCCTTTTATATATAAACCTGTGTTTATTTTAATTCGATTAATTTCCCTGAAGAAGTTCGGACCAGATTGCTGAACGAAACGTTGGAATTAATCATTTCAATTTCGCTGAGATTTTACAAATATAATTTTATAAATGTCTACTTCTCACTCAGCGCTCAATTATTTTGCAACTACCCGGTCAAATCTTGATCACAGTTCATATGAACTTACAGTGAGTATTTAACTTGTTTTCATCAACTGAAAATAAAATGGAAGACAATGGCTCCAATGAGATTCAAATGAATGCTGTTAAGAAAAAGCACACCAATTAGAAACGTCTTAAGAATGGCACTGAATGATAAAACAAGTTAGTATAAAAAGGAAAACCTTGCCTAGTTAACTAGCTCCACAAAAAAAGAAATCCTGAATGCGATCCTGCTACTGAAGTCCCAGAAGGCAGCAGAAAAACACGACATTTTTCCCGAAGTACTGAAGAAGGCCACAGAGACTATGGCAGATATCCTCACTCTATTACTGCAAAAAGTTAATAAAGAAAGAACGGTGCCTACTGATTGGAAGAAGGGTTTCCTCGTCAAAATGCCACAGAAGGACGACCTATGTCCCTTTCTGCAAGAACTGGTGATGAAAAATGCTCTTGTTCACGCCAAGTAAAATACTGAGTCGCATCATCCTGGAGAGAATAAAGGATGCACCAAATACAGAACACAACCCCAACGACCTGGAAAGGCCGGAATAAGGAACCATGAAAAATGTGCTGATAAAACCGCAAATATACACATAATCAGCTAAAGGAGCATAGGATAAAACGAAAACCAGATTAAGCCCAAAATTAAAAGAGATTGGAGAAGTCCTTCGATAGTGAGGAAATAGAAGAAATTTGGAAATTAATTCCAAGAGGGATCATCGCTAGCTAGTTGGTCAGTTGGTTAGTTAGATGATTTTTCTGCGTTGTTAGTCTGTAGGCCTTTGTGTTTGTTTGTGTGGTAGGTCGAGTGAAGTCTATGGTGGTTGATGCAAACTGCTGGATGGATTATGAATGCTGGGCTGGTGGATTGACAGGAGTGGAGAGGGCGAGTATTGGGTGCATACTGAACTCACTCACCTGGTTTTGTTGACTCGAATTGAGGCATGCTGATCCACACTGGATGACTGTCATTTGACTGAGTGCTTTTTGACTCAGCTCCGACTTTGCGTCGTTGGCAGATTTGTTAGGATTCTTGCCGACTATGCACATAGTCCGGGGTCGGATCCCCGGCCATCGCACTCCTTTACCACGCTGAGGTTTCACTAAGGCTCTCAAAGATATAATGTTGGTCATAAGGCTAGCCTCCTTATCCTGTAAATATTAATAATGCTACAGAAACTTGAGTCCTCTAGCTTGAAGACTCCTATATTTCACTGGGAACGTTGAGTATAAATGAAAAATAACCTCGCCTGGATTACTAGCTCACAATTTTCTAGCCGGTCCCAATCCCGGATAAAGAGGGAAGGTTGAGGCGTGCTGCTAGCAACTCCACCCCCAAAACTAAACCAAATTGCTACAGAAACTTAAACGCACAAATATATTAGAAATTCTAAAAACATAAACAATAACCTTATTTTTCGCTGGAATCGGGGAAGTGAAATGACGAAGGCTGGTAAAAGCCTTTGCGAAGCCAGTTGACGATGTGCCTTCTTTCGATGAAAGCAAAAATAAGGATGGGGACGTGGAATATTCGTACAATGTACGAAACTGGAAAGGTTGCTCAGGTAGCGGCAGAAATGTGAAGATATGGAATAG